GGATCAAGTATCACTCCAAGATTACGAACAGAAGAGAACGGTTGAATAGTTTCCCCCCCAACACGAACGAATTCCAATGAAGGACTGGGCCGATACGTTAATGCAATCTTGTTGCGTCGTGTAGACGACCAGTGGTAAAGCCCCCCCTCCCTCTATCCTTGGTAGAGTCCTCCCGAACTGTCCTTAACCTCAACGGACCATACTTCTCCAAAAACTCTTTCATGGCACTTTCAGTCTCAGGTTGATCTCTTCTGAAGTTAGAGGTCGCATAAAAGTTGACATCTGCAAATTCCGTGCTGGTCTGAGGAACAGGATGGTAGGATTTTTCATGAGTAAAATACTTGGCTGCCCATTTTGTTACTGTCTTCAACGACTCTTTGGGAATTATTCCAAAGTCCTGGGAATACTGCATAATGCGGTGAAGGTCTCATGCTTAAAATGGGAAACTGCGTGTAGATTCTCCACAGCTGTTGTGAGTGATGTGCAAAGATCGATAGTAATAATAACAATAATAATAATTTAGCAATAATTTCCATAAAATCCTCTACAGTTAAAAATATTAACAGCGTAAAAAACGATCCATAATAATTCTCTTTCGGCTCCCATTTACTCCTTTTTTTATATATATCAAAGTGTCTGGAAAACCGTAAATAACGGAGTCAAATCTGAACAGATTCAAAGTCTAATAATCTGATAAGTAAAAGCATATTCTAAAACTACACAGAAAAGAGAAAGGTTAGTGGCAAATCCAGAACACTATGAACAAGGCTGCTAAGAAGCATTTAAACACTGTCAATGGCTCCCTCATCAGCTGCGATTTCAACGTCACAATTACTATAGTCAAACGTAGCGCGGCGCTTCACAAGCGATCCTCGAAGGCAAACTAAGGCCGACCGAAGAACGGCAAAGAATGTCTTTGCTCGGATCCAGGAAACTGTTTGCGAGTATCTTTCCCCTTTCTTGGCGGCTTTCCCCCACACGCACATACTGATGGAATGTCATCGAACGACCAATCATAGCGTATGTTAAAAGCATCACGGAACTCTCTCTTGCTGAGGTTGAAACTATGTTCTTGAAGGGGAAGAACTTTGACCAATACAGAGGAGCCTTTTTCTTGCGCTAGTTCTAGAGCTCGCTTGGTCTTCCTTGAAACAATTTGTTTTAGATTATCTGCGATCTCTGAGAGTTCTTCACCTTTTCCACGTTTGACAACCTGACGCCCTGACGAGGTAAGGGACTCGTAGGGTAGTTGATGAGTTTGAGCCATGATAAGTTCGACGAGAGAAGATGTCACCTGCATGAATAGATGAGGCATGTTCGCGTGCCGCCTCGTGACATGGGTTGCTCAAGCTTAGGCCGCCTAGGCGCACTGGTAGTGCTAGAACGTCTCTATCCAGTTTGCTACACTTGCGCCCTACGATTGCTGGTATAAGGACCTGGGAAATAGCCTCTTCAAATGGCTCTAGAAGATCTTGGACATCAGGGAGAGTTCTTAGGAAGTACGTCCAACGATGTTTTAAGCCAAACGGGTGGGCGGCATAACTGGCCTACGGTTGAAGCTGTGCAAATTCAGCAAGCTGAACAACTTCATTGATCCAGCTAGTTACTTTCTCGTTGACATAGTCCTGCAGATAATCTCTTGAGCAGCTCCAAGATGCTTCTGCCCCTCTACTGTCACGTTAATGACTGTTTCTTTAAAGGCTTCTCTAACAAGTGCCTCCTTTTCTGGCTTTGCAAAAATCCGGCACTTTTTTCCGTTTGGAAAGTAGCCAATGTCTGGATTGAATGCATTAAGACCATCCCACCATTGCTTAATTTCTGAGATTGTGCCAGCTCCACAAGTATCATCTGCTAACCAGCATTGCTTTGCATCTAACATGGCCTGTAAACTTGCTATTAAGAGCTGGGTGCTGAGGGCATATAGTCCCATAGCAAGTGGGTCGACTTGAGTTGTTCCCTCGACTGATGTTATTTCTTTACCACCGGTGATAAATAACCGGGAGAATTGGCGATAGGTGTTTCTGGCGTAGACTGCAATTACAGGACAGAGAACGCGGATATTGCGTAGAGCCGCTGCCCTATTAAGGGCATTAAATGCATTAGACGCATCTATCAGCAGGACCAAGTCGGTGTCATCTGCTTCGAAGATTCTATGCATAGCATGCATTGCAGCCTCGCTCCCTAATTTCTGCCCCGCGCACAATTGTAACGAGCCAGTTGCCTCAACAACGTCCCGCTTGACTATGTTCATGACGCATTTCGCGCATATTCTCCTGATCACTTCTCCGACTCCTATTGGCCTCAGAGCACCCTCTCCCTCATCTAGAGGAATGAGGCGACTCTCTACCAATGGCTCTATGGTCGAAGGATCTATGTAATGAGTACATAGAGTCTTTGCCATTGTAGCTATCGCCTCACACAGCTTCGTCGTTGACTGTATGAACGATTTACAAGCCAGCATTCGTCTGAAGCCGTTTGCGTCAACACCACAGGGAACCCCAAAACTTTATGTCCTTAAGCAGCTTGTCGACGTCTGATCGTCTCACCGTTGATCCCAGTGTAAACTGATTCGGGAAATTCGTCATCAATCGGCCCAAACAGGAGTGAGCCCAATTTGGCTGGTTGAGGATTGGGGTGTTTTTTGCTGTAGTCGCGCCATAACTTCATTGGTCAGCGGTTGTACGCCAGCACTGGTACTCTCGCTCAGGAAGCAAAGTGCTGAATTTATCTGACCCTCGAGCACAAGTTTGGTGAACACTTTCGATTTATCAGGTGGATCTGTAGACCTGAGTTTGCCAATACGATTTTGAATAATCCGACCTTCGCGCAGCAACTTGTTAATTTCCCCGTCTTTCCACTATACAAGACGGTTTGACAACAGCTCCTGGTGCTCTTTGGCTTTGGACTTGGGACCAGGCTTCTGAAGGCCTACTGCGAGGAGCACAAAGGCAGCTTTCAGAGCTATGTGTCGGCAGTTAGCACCGTTATTCCAGTCATTAATGTGCGACGTAACTTGATCTATGAATTCTCTCCGTGAGTTACCATAGGGGACGAGAAAAACATATTTTTCCAGGTCGCAATTTCATTGTAGGCATCCGTTATGACTGAAGTCTGCAAAGCAATCTCGCTGTCGTCTATCCACTTACCCCACCTTATGTTTTCTGGTCATGATAATGATAATAATAATAATAATAATAATAATAATAATAATAATGATAATAATAGAGTATAGGAAGCACCACGACAAGGTGGCCCTGCAGGTACACTGGGGGATGTGCAGAAAGTATGGAATAGAGTGTACTGACAAGTGGTATGATGACCACCAACCCTTGCCACTCGCAGAAAATGGAGAGGTGAGGATTAACTGGGACATGACTATCTACACAGACAAAGTGCAGAGGCATAATCGACCAGACATTACCCTAATTCATAAAGACACACAGAAGTGGACGCTTATTGATATGGCTGGGCCAGCAGATCAGAACATCACCCGGACCGAGGAGGAGAAGGTGGAAAAGTATGAGGAACTAGCATACGAAATCAGGAGTATTCATGGAGCCTCGAAAGTCACAATAATACCTATCGTGATTGGTGCTCTCGGAAGCATATCGAAAAGATCAAAGGCCTGGTTTTGCAAGCTAGGTGTACCTGACTTCCTTGGAAGTGTTCAATTATCGGCCATCCTTGGAACTGCTCATCTGTTGCGAAAAGTGTTGTGTCTCTGAGCTACGGGAAAATGCTGAGATACAAACAACGTTACCCAGTGGAATACCCGACAACTGGAGAGAATTGAAATATAATTGAAATATAATATACGCTAATTGAGGCTCCCCCATAGAGGCTTTTCAGCCACAATACAGTTTTAACTAAGTGCTAAAAAATCCCCACTGGAAAGAGAAATTCTGAGTGCTTATACATCGGTATATAACGGGTGTTCTGTACTACAGAGTAGGCTTTTAACTGATAACAAACCATTCCAATATATACTTTAAATTCGCTTCCTGTTCCAGCCACCATAGTCGGAAGCTCCACATTCCATTGCTCGCCCGTAGTTAAGGCAAAAGTGTCACCTTTTCCCTCCTGACCTCGGAGCCATGTGATAAAGTTTCACGACAAAATCTCTGAGGTCATATTTACTGGACAACTCGTTTCGACCAAGGAACGAGATAAGGTGCTTTTACGACGCTAGGTTTGTGTTTACATTAATGATAGCTAATGACGCTCAAATGCCCTTTTAGAATGAATTCGATAAAAGCTTAGAAAACGGAGTGACGATCGAGTTGGGTATCGAAGATCATATAACCGATATGTGACATATGAACTTGATGCGGATGGTCCATGCGGTAATTATTAACGAAATATATGTGGTACTCTGGCGTACTCCTACTGATAAGTAATCAAAAGCCTACTTTTGTTGGACGAAATAAGTCAACACTCCTTATTTTACATCCATTTTTCAGGATAATTAGGGTGTTACGGTCAGCTGTTAGTAAAAGCCCACCACAAATGTCAGTTGTCAGTTAGATTTTCAGTGATTTGTCAGTTATCAGCTAAAATTTTGGCCATTTGTCAGTTGTCAGTTAATCCCATTCAGACCCTCCGCTTAATGCGTAAAGGAAATCATATCACAAGGAGGTAAGATGAACAGCACTTCTTGATATGACTTGTAAGGTATCCAAAGTAATTCAATATGTGAACCTTTATAATTTTTTATCCCTTAACCATGACGCCCTCAAAAAGTAATGTAATACATTCTTCTTTGCGAATTATCAAATCCTGCATTATACAAAACACACAAAAGGTGGCATTATACGAAAGAGAATCAGGGAATAATAAGGGGTTGGTGATACTGGCCCAAAACTTAGTTTCTCGGTGACTGGCTTGATGTGGAAAAAAATCCGAATTTTTAGATAAACTAACTACTATTACATTAAAGGAAGCCAGAGGAATTTTGGCAAGAGTTGATCTTTGTCTTTACAAGTTTCGAATTTTTTTTATAGCAGCCACGACAAAACCTTCCCTAATTGCCACATCGGCAGACTACCAGCAGGGAAAAACATTTTCACTTCCGAATGCAGCAACGTTAAGCACAAATGCAGTTAAAGCGAGTGACTCGGCAATCATGCCGTCCTCATGGAGCAGCATCACTTCGGAGAGCAGCAAAGCTACCCATATGTCAATCATAGCAAATCTTGTTCTTAACACAGGTGAGGTCTTCCGTAGTCATTTGATATAAAAGAAACAGTACATTTTCCCCAGCACACGAATGTCTTGCTTCACCGGTGATACGTATTGAAATTTTTCGACGAAAACTGAAAATAAATCATGAAAATGGTGCCACTGACATAATCATCACGACTGAACCCTTACTCTTTAAATACACTGCACATCCTGAGAAAGTACCCCTTGAACCGTTTCGTGGGGCAGTGATCGTGGCTGATACTTCATGGACACAGCTGGAATAACAGATATATTTGTTGGGGTGATATACTTGTGTTATGAATGACTTGACTGAATACATCTCTTTCTGAACGTTATAACATGTTAGGTATTATGGACATTTTCCTTCTCACGTATCTTTTAACAAATTAAATCCACAACTTTTTAGCTAAAGTTCTACGTGATGATGGATAATTAGAGAAAACGTAACGTTTCTTCTTAAATCTTTATCTTTTCCGTTCTTGGCTGGCAGAATCCAAGTGGTCTCGTTGGAGTTCTTGGAATGACTGCTCCAAAACATGTGGTATTGGTTCACGATACAGAAACAGAACATGTTTGGCAATTAATCCAAGATCAGTTTTTGCTCCAATTACATGTGCTGGAAAACCTGATCAGATCAAACCATGTGCAGAGTGGAGCTGTCCAGGTATATACTTCAAAAACGGCCTCATTTTAGAAAAAAAATTCAATCAGCATTTATTAAAGAGGATGAAACCTTTTAATTAGAAGATATACAAGTGTACACTTTCCGAAGGTTCTTCTCTTATATCCTCTTTCATGATTTGTTAGCCCTTATCAAGCCCACTTTGCCCACCAAAAGAAAATTAAAAGTAGGATGATATGGGAACAAAGGACAGACTCAAAAAAACAATTGTGTAAAGTTTCCAAAGGTCTTCACATATGGCAACTTCCTCTGTTACATTATTTTTTCAGATTGTTCGCGAAATTGTACCATTGGAACACTGAATACCGCATGTGATGCATGTACATGTGATCATCACGTGCTCACTGGACGAGTTTTGACAGTAAATGACGCACCTCTGTCAGAAGTGAACATATCACTGGCAGAAACACCCTACAGAATTCTTGCACAAACAAATGTCAGCGGATATTTCACAGCACCTGGTGTCTGCGCGGATGTGCAAGAGCTATTAGTGACAAAAATAGGTTTTGTTCCCGTGACACAACGAGCCAATGTTCTGACTTCAACAACGGCCACTATTATCGCAAAGATGGAATTTGCAGGTATTTCCCTCTCACAAATGTAATTTTGGGGCATTTCCTCCACAGGCTGCTACTTCCCACCTCTCATCTTGCATAATGACCTTACCTCAGGTTTTCGTAAACATTTACTGCCTGTTAACCGACTTATCTCTGATGTTTTCATCTTCCAGTTCCGCCATTTGTGACAGTTCATCCAGAGAGCAAGATTCGTATGCCTGGCCAGAGTGTCACATTTTGTTGTGAGGGACAGGGAAACCCTCCACCAGAAATTGAATGGTAATTAGACATTTCGGAAAATTTCAGAGCTGAATGTAGAGTTTCCGGCAATATTAATGGTCGATTCCTTATATGATGCCATAACTACTACGCTAAGAGGCATCCGTGCCCCCCTAATTTCCTATTCCTTTCAGAGCAAATCAAAATTTCTGCCGGTAACTCCTGGGTTGTTCAAAGGTGGGTTAAGATAACCTAGGGATATTGTGAAATCTGATTTGCGATCTCAAAGCTTTAAAAGAAAATTCAATTTAATTCCACAATTCATCGATGGAGTGCTCTGAAAATATTTGGGAATTTTTTCCAAAAATGGCTTTTGAACAGAGAAAAATAAAAAGCTGGATTAAAATTTAACCCTGGGTTAGCGCTAATCGGCCTTTGAACAACTGGGCCCTGATGTTTGAAAGTGATTTAAAACTTCGTCTCGAGGATTGTTGGACAAAATTCACTTTGCCTTGATAATGAAATATTTGCACCCGTTGAAATATTTCCAGGGCTGTAGCCAGACTTCAGAAGAGGACGAGGCAACTTTCGGGTCAGTGATGCCTCCCCCCTCCCTTCAGAAAAGTTTGAAGTTGAAGTTGAAGTTCATTTATTTGTTTAAGCAGCTTGATTAATTCCCAGCTGTAATAGCTGATGTGGACCTGCTGTCCTAACCCACCCATCCCACCCCAGGGGAGGACATCCATCACACAGTAATCTCGTGTGTGGGAAATTAACGTCTCCTACCCCAACCCTGCAGGAGACGGGACCTCCATTTATTCGTCCCTATCCGAGAAGACTAGAATATCTAACCATTTCTTGATGTTATAGAAAGGTAGCAAATTCTTCTCAATTATTTTAAGACTTTGAGTGTTGGTCCGGCCGGGGCTCGAACCCTCGACCTCCCGCACTACAGTCCAGCGCTCTATCCATTGAGCTAACCGGGAGGTTAGTGTAGAGGCTCACAAATGCTCTTTCAAGCATTTTCCGTGGCATTTTTCTTCTGAAAAGTCAATCTTGGGCAAGTGTAGAAGTTCACTTTTTTATACTGAGCGATACTGGTGCTAAAAAAATGGCCAAAATCAAGACGAGGCAATTGCTTCGTCTTGCCTCATACTAGCTACGGCCCTCATTTCAGTTAATATTTTACTGAATCTCTTGAAATGGACATGAGTAAACTAGACGTTAAGGACTAAGTTAATTTCCAAAATTTTTTTTCGGTATCTTTGCACAAATAAACTACTTTTTTTGCTTCTGCGTGGCTTTTAATGATAAAATATTTCATCCTAAAGAGGATGAGAGGAGAAATTTGCCTCGCTGCCATTATCTACCACTATTTTCTTTCGACTGGGTGAATGATTGTTAAATGTTCAGACTTCTTTTCTTTTTCGTCAAAAATTTAACTTATACTCGTCTAAAGGCTAAAGCCCCAATCACTTTGAGCATCATACGTTAAACAGATTGCACCTAAATTGTAGGTTTAGTTGCATATAGTTTCCTAGTTGAAAAGAAAAAACCTTTGTATTTTTTATCTCTTAGGTTAAAGGAAAACAACATTATCGACAAAGAAATTTTCAGTTACAACAACAACCTTGAAATCGTCGCTGACCATGGGCTCAATGGAAGTTATCGGTGCAGGGCAGTTAATAACTTTGGATCTGAATTCTCTGACACAGCTACCCTAACGATAGTTGGTGAGTATGTGCCATATGTACAACATTTCTGGACAATTATCGCGTAAACTGGGAACATTTTAAACAAATAAATGGTAAAAGCGTCAATAAAGAACTTATCAAGAAAAAGGTAATTCCGACCCAAATAATAACTCAAATGAATAGATCTCAAGTGGCTATGAAATATTTTCATCTCAAGCTAACAGCAATGTTACAATCACAAAACGAAGTTGAATATTAACATAGTTTATTTTTTTCTCTTCAGGGTTAGATGTCGATTCCTGTCCTTCGGCACCGAAATCCAAAATTGTTACTCTTCCTGAGGGATGTGTTGAAAATGCCACTGGCGGTAACCTCTTGGACGTTGGCGAATGTGAGCCTGTTGCATGCTTGAAAAATGACTCTTTGTTCAATTCTTCATGTCAAGATCCGACTTTCTGCTGTGGACCTGGAGATACCATAAGTGTTTTAGTTGACTGTAGAGGTATTCTGTCGTTTGATATCTCAAAAGTAATAAGTTGTTCATGTGGTAGTTGTTCTCAAACGGCAACGAATCTACAAGGCATTGTAGTCGGTGGTCCAGAGGAAGAACCCATGAGATATGGTGATGTTATTTATGATAACAAAATCGTCACTTACACTGACGAAGACGGAAAATTTTCCTTCGAAATCCCGAGAAAAGTTAACCGAGTTGCAGTGACCTTCAAGGATTCGTACTACAAAGAATTTGAGGAGAGAACCAAGGTTTTTCTATTCAATGAAGGAAGTACTGGCTTCTATAAAATCACACTAAAACGAACGCCCTCCCCGGTCTCATTTAATGCTTCAGAACCTCTTGAAATTCCTCTACGAAATGATCCAAATATCGAAAGTTTCGCCGACCTCGAACTCCCTGAGGAATCATTCCTCTCAGAGGATGGTTCTCTCTTTCAAGGAAATGCGAAGGCGATCGTAAGTGTTACTGATTCTCGTAACCTTTCAGATGTCATAAGTGCACCTGGAGATTTTACTACAACTGATGAAGAAGGCGAAGAAGAAATTTTAGAAACGTTCGGCATGATGAAGATGAAATTTGAAGATGATAATGGAAAGCAGTTAGCCTTGTCAAAACCGATGAAGGTCTATCTTGATCCCGAGAGACTCAATATAAGCGTTCCAAATGGACCAAGCGTCCCTATGAAGCTTTACTGGCTGGATAAGAAAACCCAGCGGTGGAGAGAAGCTGGGGACTTTAAGATTGAAGACGGAAATAAACGAAGAAGGAAGCGCTCCAACAGAGTATTTTTCGTCGGAACAATCACTCCCGTGTTGGCACAAGCCACAGACCTCAACTTTGACTGGCCTCATGTAAGAGTTGGTTTAAGAGTAACAACAGATCCCCCAAGAGCAGGTGTTATTGTTAGAGTAATTCGAAAAGAAGAAGGTGCTTACAGAGGGTTCACCGAAAAAACCACCACAAGCTCGGGTTCAACTTGCATTCCAATATGGCGCAATAAGCAATGTGTTCTACAAGCTGAATCCGGTGGTCGATATCTCATGCCAGTGCAAAGCAGTGTTAATAACCTTCCGAACTACACAGAAGCCCGCGTGGGTCAAAAAACTGATGAAAACACACGAGCAACAATCTGGTGGATTTCTTTTAAAAGTATATTATATGAAAATAGCGTAGAGAGAACTCCAATGTACAAAGTAAACGTTTCCACTGAACAGAACGCATGTCAATCTCCTCAATACCTGGAAGGAAGTTCTCAGTTCACTTTTCGAGATGCTGCAACATCAACTGATAATTCTTCCATTTTGGATACTACAAAATCTTGGATTCCAGGAGGCTGTTATATTAAGGTGAAAATTTATGGCGAAAATGCCATATTTGCCGCGGAAAGTTACCAGGAAAACAAATTGAATGAAAAAGGAAGGTCGGGTTTACACCTTTTAATGTCGAGAAATATTTCTGCAGGCGACACGAAGATTGCTTGCCTTCAGATCAGCTGCCCTAGCAAAAACCAGTTTACATATGTGAAGATCGCACCTCTTACTCAAACTTGCATATTTCGAAATGTCCACGAAGGATTGAAATACGTGCAGTATCCAGAGTGCCCAAAAGATTTCACAAGACCTGTGTGTGCAGCACCACCACCTGCTAGGCAAGGACAAGCAAAGTGGGTCTGGATACCAGTGAGTGGTAACGGTCAGACAATTTATAAGATTTTTCGTGGTGAAGGAAGGCTTGGAAAATACGGTGAAGCAAGATGCCTTGAAGGACAGCAGAGTGTTCAACATTCCAAAGCTAATACAATAACTGACGGCGGAGAGGCTCTGGAATACGACTGCAGGTAGTGCGTTCTGCTTAAAAATTACATATGGTATAGTTTAAAGGGTACAGTTATTTTCTATGTTTCAAACTTTTGAACTGTGTGGGAAACTCTCATTTGATTATAAAGACAAAACATCACAGCTAATTTTAAGAAACCAACGCTCTAGCGGTAGAATCGCGTCAGAACAAAGATAACACAGTAGGATCAAAGACGAAGGCTTTAACGTTAACCAGTTTACAATTAAATTGGTAATCAAATGGGTGTTTCAATCAGTTTGTAGGCCCTCATACTTAGATTGTGCTAGTAAAAGTAACTTATCGTGCTATTTTGTTAAAATTATGCAACTTTTTCTAAAAGTGTGCTTTTAAAAAAGAAACACGAAAACAGTCTAAATTTTATATTTTATGAATATCTTCATATTTTTATTTTTTTTTTTTTTTGCAAATTATTCAAAATGACCGCTCAATGCTAGATTTTTTCAGCCAAACCTTCGTCAGTTTTGAAAGGCTTTAAGTGTTAAGCGGAACTTCAATTTCAGGTTATAGTAAACTTCACAAATTAAAACATAGAGAAGAAGCTGTTATAATTTCTTGCGTTGGAGCCACTGTTTTTGTGCAACGTTGCCCTGAACGATCTTACCACCTCACTATAATTCTTTGATTGTCGTATGACTCATCTGATGGGCTCGTGCATTTCATGTGATGTTTGAGGTCGCCTTCATGTTTTCTAACTCTTCAAAATAGAGGTGGGTCTTCTAAAGGTGAAAAGTCAGTTTTATCTTCAGCTAAAATAACTCGTCATTGCTATTCTGACTTTGCTGCAGTTCGTACTGAGACCTGTATGTAAGCCGTCAGAAATGCAAATAAAATTTTTTCCCTTGTTGCACACATTACACATGTTCACGACACAAGTTGACGACACAATTTTGGCCCGTGTGACTCGCTAGGCTGCTGGCAAATTGGTTGTTAGTCTCGCTGAGTTTGCAATGGGCTAACATGACGGGCATGTTGAGGGGGTAGATTTTTCAAAACTACAGAATGATCTTGAAACTTATCGATGTATGTGTGTTTGACAAAGTATGGTGTGCAGCGCTTGTATTCGAGTAGGATCGAAGATGGAACTCGCATCTGCCGAGATCTTTGATACATTTGCATACAATATAGCGTCATAAAATTCACTCTGCTAAATTCGCAAATGGATAAGTTTTAAATGTTTCGAGTCGGACAAAGCTTTGTAATAATCTTCTTAAAGGTGTGGTGGAAAGTAGACAGAAATCTACCTTTGAATTTGAAAAAGTCTCATTTGCCGAAAAGGTTAAAAATCTCCCCTATATCTTTTCAGTAATGAGAAGATCAATTTCTCGGCTCGAAAAGGTGTCAAGTCTTATCTGCATATGTCGATTCGACCCTTCTGGCCAGCTGCGATGGATTGCGATGCAGTTTTGAGACAGTTCCTGAACCTTTTTTTCACAGTTGAACTGATTTTATCTTAACGCTACTAGAAATGGAAAACAGAACCAGTCTCTTTAGCTAGCACTTGATAACTGGCAATGCGTAGTAAGGAAATGGATTTATTTATCTGACCTGATAGGTACTGATAAAGAGCTACTAATACAGCTTGTCAGATCTGTACGGCTGTAACTGGTTAGATTCTAGAAGACTCCAAGTAAATAAAGCTTCATTGCGTTGAATCTCTTTCAGTCGATCAGCGGGAAACCAGTTTGCTGATCATGCAAACCGAAGCCCAAAATACTTGTTAAACCGAATGTCACGTTATTTACATTTCATAAGAACTATACAACCAAAAAAACATACCATCCATTTTAGCGTCGGGTTAGAAAGAGATGGAAAACTTTAGATCGCGGGCCTTGGATCTAGTACATCTCTTTGAGAGCTTTTGAAGTTATTAAGCGTCCACCCTGACTGACTCATGGGAAGCTACGTGACGTAATTTGGCATCAAGTTGGGCACAGTTGGCAGTAAGATGCCGCTGGGACTAATTGAACCGCCCTAGCTTCGCACCTATTGTTCTGATTTGGAAGTGTCAGCTAGATTATTAGCTATAACTTGGCGCAAAACAACGTATCCTATCAATAAAAGCGAGATTCCGGCTTGCGGAAAATTTACGAACTACTCGAAGTGTTCGCTGCTCGTCGTCTGTAATTTTCTAAAGTGCTCGCTGCTCACCATCTGTATTTTCTAAAGTGCTCGCTGCTCGCAAGAAAAATTTTTGTCAACTGCTCGTGCTCGCAAAAATAAACAGACTGCTCGCATGCTCGCAAATGCTCGCAAAGACCATTTGGTAGGCCTTAGCTTTGATTGGGGACTTTGTCAAAAGTGAGACTCGTGGCTGCATTTGTGGACTTCTTCGTCGTGTCCCAAATGCGAAAGCGTCACTTACCTTCCCCTTTTGTCAAGATTTGGCATTTTCATTGCCTATAGTTTACTATCTAAAACAAAGTCAGCGAATGCGACTTTTTTATAAAGAAGGGAGCCATATGTATTTTAGAATTTTAGGTAAATAATGTGTTTTTTTTGTTACAAATTCTGTAGGTTGAATGACGATGGTTTTAAGAGCACGGTAAGAGCATACAACTGGCCAAGTAATGGGGATAAGTGTTTTGTAAAAATTAAAGTCACCGGACGAAGAGCAATGTTCAGAGCTGAGAGTTATGCACCGAACAAGCGAGACCTTTATGGTAACAGCACTGATGTAACTCGACCGACTCTGCAGTACGGGGAGCCAGACGTTTCTGTCGCCTGCCTTGAGTTTAGATGCAGTGATGTACTTAGTAATGGATCTCTAATCAATAACACGTATATTGTAGTCAGGCCAATTTCGAATGACTGCAAATTCGTGAAATTAGGACGTAAGTTCAATTTTTATCAGAGCCAATGCCCATATTCCATGCCCCCTCAACAGGGAGAGGTCCGTTCTTTGTGTGACGTCCCAATACCGTATGGTAGCGATCCGTCTCCAGGTTTGTATAACAATCGGATCTTGTCGACGCCGGAGAGCAGTTGCAGAGTTGGATATCTGGGTTCGGGGATAACTCCCTCTGGCACATATTCTAAGGGATATGCTTTACATTTTCAGTGCTCTTAATATAAGCATTTAACTTACCTAACGGACTTTCTTCTTTTTTCTTCTTTTTTCTATTACCAAGAGAGGATTTCCTCTCTTGATAATACTTGGGAGGGGGGAGGGGTTACTTAAGGAAAGTTTGAGTAGAAATATTCAGCTGATGATGTCTTTGAATGGTCTTTATACTAAGCGCATGTGGCCTCTTAGACTAAATTAGTTTTCAGACGGACAAGTATAGTGTTTCTAAGAAAGCATTCAGAAAGCTTGTATGTACCAGGCTTAGAGCAGCTGCTATGTATTCAGCTAAAACTTAATTTGAACAATAGGAGTTTTCTATTCAATTAGCTTTTAGGGGGGAAAGAATATATAAGAAAACATACTCACAAGGTTTTTGCTCCTTTTGGAAGTTCATATACCTATGTACTGCCTTATAGAATGTTCATAACTTTAATGGCTTAATTTCTTTAATTTCTGTGGATTACTTAACTTCTTTGCGCTCTGCTGAAGGTCGGCGAAATTGTGACGCTTTGAATATGAAACAGTTGTCAGGAGGAAAAACAGCTTAACGGAGTGCAAAGATAGCAATTCAAAAGGGTGTCAATTATAACCCACATTCATTAATTTGGCTTTAAAGAATCAAGGAGGTAGAGTGCAAGGGGGTTCTTGAAACTTACCGTTTAAAATTTTTGCATACTAGAGGAAGTTGTTTTTCATTTATTTTGATTGTTTGGCAAAGAACAAGTCTGAGTCCCCCATGAGAAACGCGACTTCGAAGCTCACCAACTGAGCCTCAAGGAACTTAAGGACAGCGAGGCCATGACTGGGTAGTATGGGTTTATATGGGACAAGGAATCTGCATATATGTTACCCGTACTCCAAGAACCACAAAGAACTCTTAATAACTAACGCTTCTAGAAGAATATATTTCTTCTTTCTTATTTTTCAAAAACTACAACAACCGCTCTTTTTTAACTGTTCCGGATGTTGCCACGTCACAAGTCACATGTTGCCATTACGTTTACGCTCTAACATATAGCGCTAGAATCAGCAATGTCGTATTTGATTTACTCGCACAATGTTGTCGACATGACCAATTTTTCGCGGCGATATGAATATCAGCCATCTTTATCCAATAACGAGATCTTGAATTCCACCGTGTTTCCTTTTACATAGATGCCCCGGTACATTCTTTTACATATCATTACACTGAGTTAAATGATAAAATGCAACTTAGCAACACTTTGTGTTATTCACGAATAAAGGGAATTCCATTTTCCATGGCTTTCGCGAACTTTGCAGTACAATTTTCTGGACCAGTACCCTGGTCCAAGAGGTTCTCTTCTCTCTACCGGAGTACGAGAATTCGGCGCGAAGCGCCGACCAACGAGCTGCAAAGCAGCGAGCGGGAAGAACCTCTGGTCAGGACCGTCGAGAATCTCACTTTCATGCCACCAGGCTTCGGGTGACAGCCATCAATCACGCCCCTTTCCGACAGCTAATCAGAGGTATTTTACACTCAGAGGTATTTTAGTACTTTACTCTGATTGGTTGTCGGAAAGGGGCGTGATTGATGGCTGTCACCTGAAGCTTGGTGGCATGAAAGT